ACCCATCACCAGGCTGACCCATCCCCCCACCCCCCTCCCCTCTAGAATCTCAGTCCATCGTCTCTCATGGTTCGTCTCCCCCTCCGATTCCCCCCCTTCATTCTTCCCTCCCTGCTATCTTCTTCTTCTTTTTTTTTTTTTTAACATATAATGTATTATTTGTTTCAGAGGTACAGGTCTGTGATTCAACAGTCTTACACAATTCATAGCACTCACCATAGCACATACCCTCCCCAATGTCTATCACCCAGCCACCGCATCCCTCCCACCCCCCAACCACTTTGCTTTTTAAAAAAAATTGGCTTGTTTTTCTTATTGAGTTGTAAGAGTTCTTTATATATTCTGAATATATATCCTCTGTCAGACTGCATAATTTTTCTCTTCCCTTTTATATTTTTATTTTGTTAAAAGTGTTAAGAATAGCAACTTTCTGATTTTGATAAAGTTCATTGTTTCAGAAAATCTTTTCTGTTACGGTTTGTGCCTTTGTGTCCTAAGAAATCTTTATCTACCCCAAAGTCATGAAGATATTCTTACATTTTCTTCTAAGATTGTAGTTTGTAGCTTTTATGATTAGGTCTGTGATCCATTTTCACTTAATTTCTATGTATATGGTTGGAAAAAAGTTGGGGTTTGTTTTTATTCATTTTTATATCAGTTTTTCAGCATAATTGAATTACCTTAGCACATTGGTTTAAAATCAGTTGACCACCTATGTGTGGATCTATTTCTGGACTCCATACTGTTCCATGATCTATATGGCTATTCTTATGCCAATACCCTACTGTCTTCATTACTGGAGCTTTATAGTAAATCTTCAAAGCAGGTGGTACAAGTTTTCTAACTCTGTACCTTTCTACAGTTGCTTTGATTGTGCTAGGTTATTTGCATTTTCTTATAAATTTTAGAATTTGCTTGCGCTTGACAGTTTCTAAAAAAAAAGATGCTGCAATTTTAATTAAGATCGTGTTGAATCTTTAATTAAATTAAGGAGAATTGATGTCTTAATAATATTGAGTCCTCCAATCTATGTACATTGTCTATATCTATTCATTGAGATCTTTAACTTCTCTCAGCAACTTACTGTAGTTTTCATTGTAAAGGTCTTATGCTTGCTTTTGTCATTTTTAGTATTTTTTTCATGTCTTTGATGATATTCTAATTAAACTTTTTACTTTAAATTTCCAATTTTGAATTAGAAGCCAAACAAAAAAGAGTCAATACTGTATGTCTCCATTTATACAAAATGCAAATAAATTTATCTTAACACAGAGAAAATTGATGATTGCCTGTGTCAATTATATCTCAGTAGTGCTAAAAAAATGAAAGATGTTAATTGGGTGTTTATTGTGTCTAGAAAGACAATTTATTTTTGTGTATTTGACTTTATGTCCTGCAGCTTTGCTTGATCCACTTAATTTTAGTAGACTGTGGTAGTTTAGAAGTTTTCTCAACTCAATAATTATAATACTATCTGTAGGTTCCTTATTATTTTCAATGTGTAAGATAGTGTCATTTGTAGTTTTAGTGATATTTATCCTTAAGTGTTTGAGAATTCACCAATGGAGCCACATCTAAATGGAATTTTCTTTATGGGAGAGTTTTAAATTACAAATTAAGGTTCTTTAATGGATAAGTGAGTATTCAGATTTCCATTTTAGGGAGGTTTGGGGGTTTTTTGCATCAGTTTTGGTCAT